AGAAATTGTGGAAACTGCAGAGACAAATGCAGAGATGAATGGAGTTGAGAGGTGGGGGAGGGGGTAAAAAATTGTTTTAACGGTCCTGTTGCTTGCCCTCTGTCTAAGGAATAAAGAGGGTAATGGTCCACGCAAACCAGAAGGTCTCGCGTGCTCTCCCAGCCTTAACCTTTCTGGGTTTGGAAATCAGAACATGGCAGATGATCACTACCACGGTCATTCAAGACAGTCCATTTTGCATCAAGAACCGATGGCTGATGGATCAATTCAAAGTCAACAGCTGTGTTTACACCGTGAGATCTCATTGCTATTCTAATCGGCCTGCCATCATTTATGCAGACCACACCAGAGTTACCCATGGCCTCTGTAAGGGACATCCCATTCTCGGTTCCTCACAGTGAAGTTCTGATGTAAGAGCAACCTATCATAATGTGACGTCCAGTTTGCTCCATGCAGCTTTATCATTAGCGGGTGATAATTTGTTATTCACCCTCACACCTTTTGATGGAAGCTGTGATGCATTTCCACGATGATTGATGTGACCCGCTCCACTGCTATGGGAGTGACCTCTGCTGTCATATTCCGACCCTTCTGTCTAGGCAGCGTGCTGTCGTTCACCGTGTGATGCAGAATAACATCTCATCTTTTGGGCATGGGTCTTCTCCCAGCGCTCAGTAGCAAAGCTTCTTCCACATATGCATGTACAGACATGGTTAGTTGCGTATCCTTTACAGGACATTTGCAGAACCAACCCCAGCAGCGTGGTTTTTCTAGGCAAATTTACGTCCAGTTTTTTTGAGATTGCCATCTTGACGGTCGGCTTTTTTGATACCCCTGTCGAAACTAACGCAAGGCGCATGGTCCGCAGTTCGGATGGGACCTGGCATCCCGGCATTACGAAGCGTTCGCATTGACATAGTCACAGAGCCGACATACATAAATGACAGTGGACAAAATCTTAGTCCTGGACTGATAGAGTCGTAACCCAAAAGCTGATTGGTCCATTACCCCCTTCTCTCCCTATCCAACTTAGGTGGACCCTAGGGCACTTTCAGATTCGAGACAATGTAATATATACATAATTAGGAGCTTGTCAGCCCCGCTTGCTGTCGATACTCTCCAGGAAACCAGTTTCCATCCATGCAATATAAGGTGCATCCCGTCTTTCTAGACCGCCTGTCTGCCTTTCCATATCGTCATTGTGATTTTCCAGATCATTAATGTGTCTTTAAAGATTGTAGACTGTTGTCACAGGTTCATACATATGTGCTAATATATATATATATATATATATATATATATATATATATATATATATATATATATGCCCGGCTCTCTAGCGTAGTTGGCTAAACCGGATTGCGCGGTGAGCGGGTGACGAACTCCTTGTGGTCCGGGTTCACTTCCGGGGGTAGGCAGAAAAGCCACATTTCTCCCAGATTTACGGCATTTAAAATGGAATCAAGGCTGAAAGGTTGCGATATCCATAATACCGAGCCTAAGGGTTAACAACTTATGGCTTCTGGATACTAAAACAAACAAACAAACAATATACATACACACACACACACATATATAAATATATATATATATATATATATATATATATATATATATATATATATATATATATATATATATATATATATATATGGGCTGTACCGAATAGTGATTTTTACTATTCGGCCGAATACGAATAGAGGGACCAACTATTCGGACGAATACGAAAAACAATTACGAATAGTGTATCATCATCATCATGCGCCTAGCCGACTGGAGTTGGCGATTATGCCTCGCCACAATTTTTTAGCTCCTGCAGCATGTATGTGTGCTGACACATCTCCATGCCATGCAAGAAGACTGTCAAGAATCTTCTCTCGTTGTCTTCCTCTTTCCCTCCTTCCACAGATCTTTCCAGTGGTCACCACATGTTCCATTTTCCCTCGTCTCATAACATAGCCGAAAAATGATGACTATCTCCTTCTTCTTCTTCTTCTGCTTCTTTGCGGTCACCAGCTGTAAACTCTAGGGGAAAGTTCTGGTTGTTCATCCACTTCTGAACTGCAGTCCTGTTCCAAAACCTGAGTGTTGCATGTGCATCCGTTTTACAGATCTGACTCATTTGTGTGCAGACTGCTGGTTCCTTGCCTCTCAGGCAGATGCACTCCGACTTCGAAGAAACTCCCAATTAGTCGACTCTTACGACATGCTTTTGGGTAGGCAGTGGGTCTATTCTTGTTTTCCCTATAACAGGGCCCCGGAACCCACACGGGGAACTATCTCCTTCTGATGCATGTGATTAGTTGTCCTCGGGCTTTTGACTCTTTCAAAACATCTTCGTTGCTTTGTGTGTGTGTGTGTGTGTGTGTGTGTGTGTGCTGTCAAAGGTATTTTTTAGCATTGTTTTGTAAAACCACATCTCTGAGGCCTCAATCAATTGTTTGGCCTGTCTACCGATTGTCCAGGACTCACAGCCTTATGTTAAAACTGGATGTATGTAGCAAGCAAAAATTCTTTTCCCGAACCTTCAATGAAAAAGATATATTGCATAAGATGTTCTTCATTTTATAAAATGCAGTTTTTGCCTGTCTTTATTTTTGACAGTAGCGAGGAAAGACAATTTAAATTTTAACTTTCAAGTATCTTCATGCCTTCTTTAAAAATGTCACAATTCTTCTTCTATTTCGCGTTCACCAGCTGTAAACTCTGGCGGAAGGTTCTGGTTGCTCGTCTACTACTGAGCTGCAGTCCTGCTCCAGAACCTGAGTGTTGCGTGTGCATCAGTTTTACAGATCTCATTCTCTTGAATACAGACTGTTGGTTCCTTGCTTCTCCGGCAGATGCACTCCGACTTCAAAGTAAGCTCCCCAATTAGTCGAATCTTTCGACATGCTTTTGGAGAGGCAGTGGGTCTATTCTTGTTTTCCTCACAATGGGGCCCCGGAACCCACACGGGGGGTGTCACAATTTATAGCCGACGATTCTTGATTTTAGCGCGGCACCAATGGCATACGCACCCAGTTTAAAATTCCTGCTGCAATGCCTCGGTCGAGTCAGTAGGCAAAGACCTTGCCAGCTGCTGTACCAAGCAACTGGTTCGCAGTCCCCCCCCCCCCCCTCCACACCCCGCTAAGACAGACTTAGGCAACAGCAGCAATTTTGTTAACGAGAGAGTTATTTCGGTCCATGCAGTTATTTCGGTGTAAGGTAACCACTAATCGTATTCGGCCCGACCGCAAGTATTCGGCCGAATACCGAATAGTTAATAGGTCTACTATTCGGCCCCGAAGCGAATGCAAAGCGAATATTCGGTACAGCCCTAATATATATATATATATATATATATATATATATATATATATATATTCTTCTTTTTGGGCCTTCTTTTTGGGCCCAACCCTTGAGAGTTATCGCTGCAGAAATCACCCGCCTCCACTCATCTCTCTGGTTGGCTTACTTTCCAGTTGGTGACACCAAGTGTTTGCAAATCTCTCTGGACATTATCTCACCAAACGTCTGTTTTATATATATATATATATATATATATATATATATATATATATATATATATATATATATATATATATTATATATATATATATATATATACATACACACTCATTACACGAATGATTAAAAAAGCTAGAAATAAATTCCTTATTGTTAAGCTGTGAGCAAGAACCAATATATGACAAAGTTATTAGGTACATGGTGAAGATGTTGAATATGTAAAAATATACATTTAAATTCCCTGACCTAATCATTTTGGAACTGTAAAATATTGTTGAAATAAACATTCTGGAAAACGCGCTGCTATACTGTATTGGCGTTACCAGTAAATTATAACTATGTATTCAAAGTAGTTATTAGATACACTGAATGGCAATTACTATCGAATAACTAATTATGCATGTCTTATTATTGAAACTTGAGAGCAGACATTCTTGTATTCAGGATATAGCTTCCATTCATGTCCTGCCCCTGCCTCCAGCCAATCTCTCATCCTGAAACAAAAAATATAGCTAAACACTTGGGCTGAAAATAGTACTAATGGCTGCCATGATCAAATTAAAGAATGTCACTTCCTCCTTTCTTAGAAGTCAATGGCAAATTACACTATGCTTTGTTTATGACAAATTACTCTACGTTTAGTTTGATCTGTAGACAATTACACCATGTTTTCTCCCCTGGAGATATCCTTGTCTTATGCAGTCTATAGAAATATACAGTGTAATTTTGTCATAGGATAAATAATTCAAGGTTAGCATTATTATCTTTCGACATTTAACTGTCAGCTGTCATCACTGTCACAACTCGATTTGTATCATTATAAACAATCAATATGTCGTTGTTTACCGCACTTTAAATAAGCCTATAATAGATATTCTGTGAAAACGAGAAATTATAAAATGGCCAGTGAATGGTCAGTAAATTTGCAATTTTGTAAATGGCTGCACCCCCCCACCCCTTTCTTTTGTCTGTGGCATAAGGGTACTGTGCTGCTCTGTGGTTCCGCGGATAGAGAGTTTAAAAACTTCAGGTTTTGAGAAATTGAACAACGGATCAACATATATGGCACACGGGTAGTAACCCATAAGTGCCCCGTTCTTCTTCTAACTCAATTCTGAGTCCTTAGAAGCTTAGCACAGTGCACAGGCTCTGTTGCACCTGCGAGGATCCTGAAATACTTTGGGTTGATTTTTGTCTCTATATTTTGCTCGGGCAGCGTCGTTAGGCTACTCATTTCGATTTCCAACTGCCAAGGGAATTTTTACGTGCACAACAATGCACACGGGCGTCTGGTCTCACTACCCAGAGACCAGGGGGAATTACTAGGTTTTTTACTTTGTTTTTAAATTTTCTTTTCTATTTTTAGAATTAGTAAAACAAAATTCATTAAAATACAATATTAAACAATAACTGAACCACACAGATGCACAGCTAAAATGAAATATGAATTGTTTGAGGGTGAAGCTCACTGAGATCCGTTGTTCGTCGACATGTGGGATACAAATCTAACAAAACTCACCATAAGTGTAAATCAAAAACAAACGATTATCATTCCCGCAAAGCACGTATTGTTAACTGATGAAGCTCTCTACTATTTACTGTTAGTTAACTTATGGGGTCCTGCCCAAGCCGTGTGCGTTCTTGGAATAATTACAAATATTCTCAACATAATTGTCTTTTCTAAACAAGGCGTGCGTGACACTGTCAACATAAGCCTTCTGGGCTTGGCCACATCCGACCTGGGTTCCCTGATTACGGTGCTTTATATAAATATCTCATTTATGCCAGATTTTACTGCCCTGGACCTCCCGTTTGTCGGCCGTGACGTCATGTATATTTTGTCCTGGTGTCACGTCATATTTACCAGAGTCAGCACTTGGATAACTGCTTACATCACGTTAGAGAGATGTCTCTGTGTTACTGCGCCGCTCAAAGTCAAGAATTTGTTCACGCCTAGGAGGACAGTATTTTATCTTTTTTTTGTCTATGTGTTCATGCTGACAAGCGTCTGTCCAGTCTTCTACACATCTCGAGCAGCCAGAATTTTTGACTCATCAAATAATAGGACCTTGCTTGGGATATCCTTTTTAGAGGACAGAGATAAAATAGAAAGGGTGGCATTCATGACAAACAACACAGTCCCAACACTGGCATTTTGCACGGTGGCAATCTGCACCGCAATTCTTGTGTCAACTTTACGAAAGAAATCAAAATGGCGTCGAAAAGCTACCACGTCTACTGCGAAAACTGTCGTAGCTGACAGAGATGGCAAGGTAGTCAAAATGGTGGTCCTAATATCTACTATATTCATTATTTGTTACTTCCCGGGAGCAGCTGTTTTTGTGGTCATGTTACTAGATACCGATTTACGAATTGACGGATTTCAGAAGAATATGCTAATTGCAATTTTTTCAATATTATTTCATCTGGAATCCATCAACGCTAGCGTTAATATCTTTATATATTTGAGCATGAGTTCAAAGTTTAGGTTAACGTTCAAGAATATGATGTGTTTCAAGTGTAATAAACAATCGGGGTGTAAAAAACAAAATAAATAAATGTCATCTGTTTACTGCCAAATATGTGCCAAATATGAATCTATTTCCGTTTAGGAAGCGGACACGGAACCCAATTTCTACTAATTCTTCCCTCTCCTCCATGATTGTCTCTTTTGTCTGTGTACCTGTGGACTGCCACCTGAGACAGCTGATAACATCCTACAAAACTGTCCAACCCAATACAACGTTTCAGTAGAGCGCTGGAACGGGTAGTGTTTTCGTAACACCTATGCACGTTGCCAAGCTACTAAGGTATTTATCTCTTTGCTTCTCTATTTTCCTCTTTCTATGAATATTGCCAGTTGTCACTAAGTTCTCGAGTATGTTCCTTGCATTGAAATATATCTTCTGTAGTCGTACAAAAATAATGATATAATGGAAATTTTTTTTTTGTATCACCTTTTTTTCCCCACCTTACAACATACTAGCGTCTGTATTTTTTTTTTTTTTTCTGTGTGTCTTTTCTCCAGTTTCTCATAGATTGTTTTAGATCAGTCGTACGGGCTTTAATTCTAAGACGGATGGGGCTTCGCGAGGTTTCTTTAAGACTTTGCAAGCTCTGCCTTTTTATTTATAGGGACATTGTGAGGGCCCTTTGGGAGCGAGTGAACAGTGCGGAGGCGCAAATAGATCATTACGGTTTAAGAAGAATGTCGCTGCGAGGAGTTACCAGGGAATCTGGCAGACGCTCAACATTCAGGGGACGGATGAGACGGATATGCAATCAGTTACAGGTACCATCTGAATTTGAACTCTTCGCTTGCTTCTGAAGATGGGGACTGAGCACTGTTGTGTGCAATCCGAAGATCCACACTACGGACAACCGATAATGAACATGAGGTATGACGAGGACACGACGTCACTTGCCGACAGGAATTTTTACACAGATAACCGTTGCAAGAAATGTGTTAATGGCAGAGGTTGGAAACTAGGCTTAGCTGTATTCTACTTGATGCCGCAGTTGGCGGGGAGCTTAGGCTCTGTACTCTGGCTTAGAGGTGAAAGGAGTTCTTCTACTTGATGCCGCAGTTTGCGGGAAGCTTAGGCTCATTGCTCTGACTTGGAGGTAAAAGGAGTTAGTTATTCTACCTGATGCCGCAGTTTGCGGGGAGCTTAGGCTCATTGCTCCGGATTGGAGGAAAGTAATTAATTATCTAACTGTCGTTGAATACAGTGACTGTAATGTATGCATTTTATTGACACCATTTACATCTGTGAGGAATTGTTCACTTCTTGGATTTGCCTGTCAACGACGTGTTTGTAGCAGTTTCAACGGTTGAATTTGTTACGGCGTTTTTCTGCAAATTCTGCCCGCCCTTGGTCTTTGTCATTGGTTACCCCCTAGAAAATAGTTTACTTGGAATTTGTACGGCATGGATCCGGGACTACACCTCACGGCCTAATTTATGAACAGAATATCATCGTACAGTAATGGAGACAAATAAGAGCCGTACAGAATGGGAGGCCAAGCCGCTCCGTCATCTTTAATTTTCCAGATCCTGTGGAATTGATGCTTCGTACATACGTTCAGGTCAGCGTGGTCATTACACTCAAGCATGTTATCATCAAGCTTTATCAAGTTGCTGTCATTACTTGAGATGAAATCACAATCTCTTCTGAACACTTTCGTGGTACCATTATCATCATCATCGCATCTACGTGTCATCGTTGGATTTACAAGTCACTATTACTGAAAAACACTTGCGTGGACCGTTATCATCGCAGCGTCACTGCACTCACGTGTCATCGGATTTAAAGCACTCGACGTTGGATCTCTTTCGCAGCGGCTCGTCACTGGAGTTTGTGTACATCAGCTCATCACTGGAGTCTTTGCACACCTACCACATTGTTGGAAACACATCGGGTAATGTTTTGTTGTTGCTGGTTCGTGTGTAATTGATGCGTTTGCTCTCATTATAGTGGCCGAGGTGTCAGTGTCACTGGTTGTTTTCGTACTGTGTATTTGGTAAACAATTCGTATCTTTTATTCGCGGGAGGTTGGAGCGGTGCGCATTCAGAGTATTATCCTAAAACATCGAGAATGGTGTGTTGAATGCTGAATTCAGCATCGGATGTCGTAAAAGTGGCCTGGAGATAGTGGGGTACTTTAATAGTATAAGACTTTTGCGATCTCTCTTGCTTTACTGTCTGCGTCTAGTTAGTGACGGTTCTTGACGTCATTCTTCGTGTTATCGTTCCGTAATTTCTAAGTGTAATTTCTTTTTTGACAGGCAATTTGTATCGTCATTAGTTTTCTAATTCGTCAATTCCACGGCGTCGCTTTGTACGTTCGATGGATTGATTAGTGTGTTGTGTCATTACGTTATATTACATATTGCTGTGTTCTGTAAAGCATATAGTCCACAAATATACACGTAATTTATCAGTCACATAAGAAAATTACATCTTTTGTGGAGTTCATTGAGCTGGGTCGTTCCCTGGGTTTGGACTTTGATAATCTTATCGCCTTTGCCGAGGCTAGAACTAGGGATAAGGAGGCTCAAGAAAAAGAAATTGTGCTTCGCGAAGAAAGAGCACTAGACAGGGCGCAGAGAAAACTGGAGGCAGAATTGCAAATTCAGATACTTAAGGCAGAGAAGGAAAAGGCGGAAGCAGTGGCACAGAAACTCGAGAGGGAATCACATCTGCAGATTGCTCTAGAGAGAGAGAAGACAGAACTACAACTTAAGCTAGCTGAGGCAGAAAGGCAAAAATTTAAAGAAGAAGAAGAGTTAAAAATTAGGCTTGAAAAAGAGAAGATTGAGACTCAACGATTGCTTCAGGAGAGTGAACTAGCTCTAAGAAGAGAACAACTTCTGCAGAGCATGCAGGACAATGATAAACTACAACAGCTAAGGAGAAGGAGCTGGAGTTGTCCTACAAACAACACCAACTAAAATTCAACACCGAGCTGGAAATTGCAAAGGTTGAGAGAGATAAGTCTATCGCACTCAAAGAAGCAGAAGGCAGGATGGGTGTGGAATCAAATTCAAATCTCAGACATGACCGAAGAGGTGTCTTATACAAGCCAAGGTTGCCTTTTCTAACGTGTAACGACTCTTTAGAAGATTTTCTTCAACGTTTTCAGGAGACCATGACGGGGGCAGAGATACCAGAGGCGCAGTGGGTATCTCGTCTCAGGGACTTACTAACAGGATCAGCGTTAACCACTTTCACCAACCTGTCGCCGGAGGACAGAACGTCGTTTCCGATTGTGCGTCAAAAGTTGCTAGAATCGCAGAATTTAACTGCAGAGGGGTATCACAAACGTTTTAAAGACATTATTCCATCGACAGAGGTGAGTTTCGGCAGTTTTGTGGCCAGTGTGAGGACACATTTTTCCAGATGGACAACGCTCGCTGAGGTGGATGGATCGTATGATCGCCTGGTGGATCTGATAATTCAAGACAAGATACTATCTTGTTGCAGTACGGAGTTGTGTGTATTTTTCCAAGAGAGGAAACCCACCACGGTTGACGAGAGGGTAAAGCTAGGCGAACAGAACACGAGTGCACATCCAGGAAGAGTACTTCACAGGGAGAAATTCCCTGATGCATTTGCAGCCGCGTCGAGCAGGCGAGTAAACCATTCAAGGGGTTCAGATGTCGACTCATGTAGAAAACCCCCAAGAGTTAAGACACATGAGCATGAAAGTTCGCATAGTGAGGATAGATTGAGGCGACCCAACAGATCCAGGGGTTGGGCAAAATCAATCACCCAGATATTACAGCAGGTGTAGAGGTTGTGGATATTGTTTGTCCTGGCGCCATGAATCAAATCGTTGCCCAGATCAAGGCAGGAAACAGGACGATGATGGGTACACAAATCGTGACAGGAGACCAGAACGTAAAGGAAGTCAGAAATGTTACGTATGTAACGGTTCTCACCTGAAAAGGAATTGTCCAAGATTGTCACCGAGGCAGAGCAATACTGTGCAGGTAATGCGGGTTGGCAGCAACGAAAGTAGAACCCCAAGGGAAACTATTCAGGTAAGGGTGCGACCTGAGATCACATACCCTGCTTTGTCTGCTTTGCCGACGGTGGGGGGGATTGCCACTGTATTTTGGTTACATTGGAAGGGTGAGGTGCACTGTGCTCCGGGACTCCGGGGCGAACATAATCGGGGTTGCAAGACACCTCAATTGATAAACACCATCTTCATTCCAACACTCTGCTACCAGTGCCAAACATGGACAATCAACAAGACCCATGAAAGAAAAATAGAAGCCTGTGAAATGAAATGTCTAAGAAAAGCAGCGAATAAGACCAGACTAGACAGGATAAAGAATATAGACATTAGAAACACTGTCAAAACTACGCCATGTTTAGACTACATAGAACATCAAAGAATGAAATGGTTTGGACATCTAACCAGGATGAAAAATGATCAAATAACATCACAAATTTTCAACCAAAGAAGCTCAGGATATAAGGCAAGAGGAAGACCAAGGAAACGGTGGATTGACGGGGTCTCCGAAACCTGCCAAAAGCATGGCCTCAGAACATCAGATGCTTGCTTATGACAGGAACTTGCATCTCCCCACAACGCTTAGCGGCATACGTGGAAGGAAAAAGTAAAAGTAAGTAAGCAAGACACCTGGTACCCGCTTCTGTATATACGGGAAAATATGCAAAGTGCCGTACATTCGGAGGGAACTTAAAAAAGTATCCTCTTGCTATTGTGAAGATTCGTTGTCCCTATCTTACAGGCGTCGCTGAGGTCTGTGTGGTAAATCGTAGCTCGCCGGATATCATTCTGGGTACAGTTCCTGGTGTGAGGTCCTGCACACAGGAGGAAATTGAATGCTTGAACCGTGAGAACGATGTCGTTGCTAATGCCGTTACAAGGGCACAACACCAGAAAGATATAACATCAGAGGCAGCAAATAAATTAACAGAGGTAATTCACCCAAAGGCAGTGGTGTTCGAGAGTGGGGTGAACGAAGATGCATCGGTTACAGGTTCAGTATCACACTCTGCACAATCATTTGCTGAGGCGC